ATCTTCAATATCCTTTCATCCTCTCTGTGTTTTTAGAGAAGTTTCCTTAACTCTATTTTCTAGCATTTCTACTATTGTATTTCATATCAATCTTATTGCTAGTTCTTATTGAGTTAAGTTTTTATTTACTCATTGTTACATACACCCACTTTGAGCTTATTGTATTTGCATACATAGTATATTAAGATTGTGAGAGATTGTAACATTGAGTTGTGCTTATTTGAGTTCTCCCCTTGTATGAGAGAACAAATCATTTATTTGTTACATTGTGAGTGTTGTAAGGTTTTCGGTGAGCTAGAAACCGAGTGTGTTGTGAAGTTTTCGGTGAACTAGAAAACCGAGTGTGATTTGTGAACATTGTTCGGTGAGCGTTGAAAACCGACACTGTGAGGTGTAAACGTTATTCGGGTGAGCGTAGAGAAAACCGACACTGTGAGGTGTAAACGTTATTCGGGTGAGCGTAGAAAATCCGGTTGTGATAGTGGATTCTCCTTGGGAGTGGGGAGCGGAGACGTAGGACGGAAGGTCCGAACTCCGTGGTCATATAGTGTGTTTGAGTGTGCTTTAGCGTTCATTTATATTTATGTTCATATCTTATATCGCCATTGTCCATATCTCATTATTTATATGATCCACTATTTAGTTCATATTGTTTACGCCTTGTGTTAGTTTACATATCCTTACATATATCATATTATATATCTCTTTGGTAGGATATATTATCTTGTGTTAGTTTATATATCATTGCATATATATTTTTATCATATAGGATATATCTCTTTGTTGTTCATATTGATTATCCTAGCTTACATATCTTGTTGTATTTCATACTTGCTAGGATAACTTATTAATTAATTTTAATTGGCATTTAAATCGGATTAGATTAGCATAAGACTCTAATCACCCCCCTCTAGAGTCTAACAAACTTTAGGTTATTTAAGTACAAATAACTAAGAAAATAACAAATAACAACTAATGACATGTCATCGAGTGGGTTTCAAAGTAAAAAGTGTAGATCATTTTACAAAGCAAATTAACAAACAATTGATTTGGAATACTAATACATTTTCTGTAACAAAAATTGTAAACTTGTTGATTTTTGCAACTAATCAAACATTGGATATGGATCTGGAAAACATTTCGGACGATAAAAATAGAAACCTCCAAATGATGAATTTGTGGTCAATTTCTTGTAAGAAATATAGCATGTAGTTTTTTTTTACATGCAATATCTTTTGTGTTTACAATCGCAGCATAGCAAACAACCCCTTAATGCAGCCTACAGTGTTTCCTACTCCCCTTCTAGATATTTCTCGCATCTTTAAAATTATTCATGTTGTGGTTATGCCAAAAGAACCCTCCACTAAGTTCTCTTTTCCTAAAAGCTAAATACACAAGTTCTTGCGAGTTATGATTATTAACCCTAACATCATCATTTAAGGGGGGGAAAAGCAAAATCAAATGTCATGAGGAGTTTGCGGTGGAGATCTACCTTGGAGTTTATCATATGAGACAACGAGAATGAAGACGCCTCACAGTCATGGGTTCTAGTGAAAAACTTTGGATCTAAACGAAGTTCTTTGAAGAGAAATGCAGGTCAATAAACATTTAGTAATATAAAAACTATGGAGAAACAAGATTGCATGTTACTTTGTGAATCTCGGTCATCTACTACAGGATGGTCCTCACTAGTAGTCCATCTCTTGGTACCTCACTTAGCAAAATGGATTGCCACTCCATACCATTTTTACTTGTGCAGACATACACATCTAGTTGATATAGACTCCTATTGACAGTATCCAAGATTCAAATAATATATATCAAAATTCAAATTTTGGTTTTTAAATTGAGAATTTATTATATTGGGTGCATGGATAAATTTAGTGTGGTCATCTACCCCCACTGATCCTATAAAATTAGTTTCATAAAAAAAGTATTTAATATAAAATTATTTGCGCCCATGATCTCAATTATAACTCTAATCTCATCCCTTTAGGTTGCCCCATCATCCACAAATCCCCATGTAAGGTTGCAACCCGCGTAGCCAAAATCCTTCCACTTCTGCTTCTGCCTTTCTCCTGAAAGCAAATCATGACCAAAACACATGTCATTTTCCCTAGAGAAAGTATAAAGCCAAAAATCAAAACTCCTTCTCTCCATCTTCTTTGTTCACTTTGTTCTGTTTAATACTTTCTAAGACAACCACGAGTGCTCTCTGCAGAAACTATAAAATTTTACCCTAAAATTAAAATAAGTTGGACATTTTTAGAACTTCTGAGAAACTCATTTGTTTTATAAGTTGGAATCCTTGAAAGGAGGGCCTGCTGCTTCTGATACGGGTGTATCTTCTTCTCTGCTTCGGGAACTTAGTGATCATCATGGGAGCTTGAGGATAAATGATTCTCATGATAGCTTGAGTATAGAAGTGTGGGCGGAGCCGCGGGTAGTGGCGAAAACGGTCAAAAGTAGGAAAACGACAAAAATCAGAAAGCTAGAAAACAACTCTGGCCGGTCGACCGACGAGCTAGCACCGGTCGACTGATGAAGCTATGTCGGTCGACCGAACAATCATCCCCAGTCGACCGAAAGCATGCACGCTACAAGTCGAGAATTAAACGTTCGGGTCGGTCGACCGAGAGGGGCCGACCGGTCGACCGATGGAGGGAATGTCAGTTGACCGAATCGGGTTTCCTAGGCTGATCTGGATTCCTGTTTTGCACGAATCCAAGTTGGGTTTGCCTTGGTTATTTACCACTTTACCACCCACATTGTTTTAAGATATAAATAAAGATTGTTTAGGGTTTCTAAACATCAGATTGGAATTTAAAGAGGATAGAGAAGTTTTAATATATTCTAGAGAGATTTTGAGAGAGATTTTGTAATCTTTTATTTTTCATAATCTAGAGAATATATTTTCCTTCGCCAATTAAATTGTTTTGTATGTTTTACTGTTTTCTTCTCAAAACTCACATTTGATAATTCCGCGATCAAATGTGCTCGCTCAGCGACTCGTATCAGCTTCTTTGCTACCTATCCTTTCATAGTCCTTGTAAGTTTTCACTTCTTTTTACTTGCAAAGTTTAAAGTTTCTACATAAAATTTGGTGTTGTTATGGGACCATTCATGATCCTCTTATTTATAGATTTTAAAGTTTAATTTTTAACTACTATTTATAGATTTTAAAGTTTAATTTTTAACTAACTTATTTGATTACAATTGTGCAGCATTTAGACTTGTTGCTTGCATCTTTCTACTGTTTACCTCTCCATGCATTGGTGAGAGCCGACGAAAATCATCTTCATTCTAGGAATTATTTGCTTCCTAGTGTGTTAAGAACTTTAAACACCCATTAAAAATTATATGTTCTTTTATCTCCTCTTTTCTTGTTTACTGTTAAAATAGCTATGGTTTTATTTAATATTTTGAGTGCATAATATTAAATTGTTAAGTGTTCTAAATATTCAACTAGTAATTTTAGTTATTTATTATAAGCTTAACTATATAGAAAAATGTGCAATTGCGTGAGAGATGATTGGTTGAATGATTGCTTGGTCGCTTGTATTGAAAGAGACGTCTTTGATATCATAGACAATGAAAGAATAACACATTGTCATCAAAACATGAAAACGCGGAGGGAACAATTGTAAAGAATTTTATATACTTTTATTCGATTATATTTTTTTTGCTTATATGCATATTTGATGTCGTTACTATTTAGCTAAAAATGTCATATATTTATATTTGAGATCTTGCCCCAATTACCAAAGTTTCTGGGTCTGCCCCTGATAGCATGTGATCCAAGGTTTTAAATATTAGTTATCGGGGATTTATCGGACGATCAAAATCCATATCGAATAGCAGATATCGAGGATAAGTAGTATTTATCGTAGAGACATTACTGGATGGTGATATACATAATATAATATTCTAAAATATAATCTAACCATACTTAATGAAATATAAACATATCATAATGTAAATAATTATATTTAGGATCATTAACCAATGGTAGAAACTCAGGTCGGGTCGGGTTTAAAGTGTATTAAATAGGTGCTTGTTGTCTGAAATCAAAAATCAACCCAAAGACTGATAATTCCGATTTTTGGACCGACAGTATCGGCCGGTAACTCACCTTATCGTCACATTATCGGCGATAAACATTCAAAAACTATAACCGATTTAGAATCGAACTTATCATAGCGAAAGGCCCCCAAAACCGATAAAACGCCAATAATATCGGTTTATTGACCGATATTTAAAACATTGATGTGATCAACTAGAAATCAAGTATTTAGAAACAAAATCTCAGAAATTTCAATGTAGTTTAACCATGCATCTCATGTTTCCAGAAACAATGTTTCAAAATTTTCATAAAATATTAATTTTTGCCCCTAGATAGATACATATTAAAAAAATGTTGAAATTATGTAACTTTTTGTATCTAGGTATGTTGAAACTAAAAGCACTTCAAATATACATACGGGTATGATAGATATGAGGTAGAAGTAATGTGCTACCAAGCATAAGGGGTGGCATGCGGTGTGCATAATATGCATTCGTGCACGCATGCGTGCATAAGTGTGCATGCACACGCACAACAAGTTTGAAAGACATGTTTCTCTTTATAGGAGGAAAACACTAGAAGAAGCAAATGATTACTAGACTGCTCTTCAATTGGGATGTACCCTCCATTCCTTTCTAAGGCTATCTTCCAAAGGATTCTTTAGTTTGACATGCAACAAAACACCTATGGGCTTTCCTTTCCCCCAAAACAATTAAGGAAAACAATGTATAGGTACTTAATTAAAGGTAAATGTTCTTCAATAGAGATGATATGCTATGATCACCCTATATCCAAATTGAATACCACCAATAATCTCAGAATGCAATTGAGGTGCCTAGCTACCAAATTTACTAAGAAACCAGCAGATTCTCGGATGCCAAAATCGAAATTCACCAAACATACAGTAATCTAGGTTAAAGAAAAGGGAATTACTAACTTCGACTAGGATCAAACTCAACCGTTTGCTTCTCTTTATCCTCAGCCTTCATCTGCTGCTCTTCTTCAGGAGCTTTGTTCACATCCATCCCCGAGTCTCTTACGAAAAAACTGAAACCAGCACAACAAATCAAAGATTTTGCGGACTCAATTCAATCTTCCACCTAGGGTTTCTATCACCGCAAGGAATTGAACGGCATTAAATTGCAAAATATTGTCAAGAAACCTTACCTCTTGTTTTGATTTGGTGCTTAGGGTTAGGGTTTTCTGGAGCGGCGAGTCTCGAGATTTTTTTGGGTGTTTCGAGAGGTCGGAGGAGAGAATAAAGAAGGCGGGCTCGGGTTCCCGTCCCTCAATCGATACCCACGCTTTGAATGGGCCCCGCTGACGAGAAATTGAGGCACGGATACCGGGTGAAGCGAAGTGCGTGATGTTTTTGAGTTTTGAGGAGCTTCTGCTGCCATAGATACGTAGAAAAAAGTACTGCAGAGAACCCCTCCAAAATATTTTTATTTATGTAAAACACCTTTGATCAGTTTAACCGTCTAATATCGTAAACTTAAACTCATTTTTTAGTTTATTTATTGTAAAAAAATTATAATTCATTTAGTAAATCTTCATAAGAAGAGTTAAAAAGTAAAAAAATATAGGTTGTTTTTGTGTCATGGAAAAAATAATGTTAAATATTGCATGGTAAATATAATGAAGCACTGAATTGAGAGGGAAAAATTTGTGGTTTTTATTATTGTTAGAAATATAAGAGCTTTTGAATAACATGCATTGCAATAGCTACAAAAATTGATCATCGATGGGGTTGCTTTCTTGTATTAACGAAAATCAATTTTACTGCAATACCGGTAGTATCTATGTGCAATCATTTATATTGTGTTACAACCATCAGTTTTAAAATATGTATGAAGATATCATTAGATCCATACTATATGAATTTCTACGCAGGGCGCTTTCATGATATTTAATACCCTTGTTTGTATATACTAGTATAATGCATGTGCTTTGCATGTGGACATATTTTTTATATTTAATATTATATTATCTAATAAATGATATATAAATATTCTATAAAGTTATTTTATTACACTATTACTAAAAATTAAGTTATACTATTATTAGTACTTATACTGTTATTAACGTACATTTAATAGTTATTTAAATTTGCTTATTATTGTGTTATTAAATATTTTATTTAAGAGTATAATTATTAAGCAATAATGCAATCGTTAGTTTAGGTAACACTATTGAAATAATTAAATAATTTATATTGTTAAATATTTATGCTATGTAGATATCTTATTACAATATTAATTAAAAAAGAGCAATAATTCTTAATATTATATGGCTTTACGTTGTAAAGAACATTAATTTTTGACAATTGACATCGTCTTAGTAATAAAAAAAATTAGACATTATAAATTAAAAATACTTTTATTTAGGAAAAATACTTTATATAAATTATTAGATCATTGAAATTTATGAGACGTTTACTTTTCAACAAAAAGTGTATGTCTCATAAAATTCAAGGATCCAATATTTTTATATAAAATTCTTTTCTAAATAAAAGTATTTTAAATTTATAATATCCAATTTTTATTACTAAGATGATATTTTAACATCAAACAATGTAATATTGCTTACAATATTATTATAATGTCCAGTTTTCCCTATTTATAATATTATTGATAATTATAATTATATAAAATATTTTATTAAATAAATAATTTAATATTTCATTACAATTAATAATACTTTAATATAAATTATAATTTTTATGACTTTTATTGTTATTATAAGTTATTAATATATTCTAGTGAATGACCAAATGTCTTGGAAAAATAAAGAGTAAAATATATGTCTCATAAATTTCAATGATCCAATATTTTATATAAAGCAATTTTCATAAATAAAAGTATTTTTGATTTATAACTTACAGGTTTTTATTATTAAGATAATATTAATTATTGAACAAGGTGGTATTGTTTACGACATAAAGAATCATTCTCTATTTATACCATTATTTATAAATATAATTATGTACAATAATTTATTAAATAAATAATGTTCTACTTTATATAATTAATTACTCTTTATATTAAATTATAAATATTTATGAATTTTATTATCATTATAAGTTATTAATATATTCTAGCTAATGACCAAATATTTTGAGAAAATGACGAGGTACATAGTTAATGAGGGGTTATGGATAATTAGTTTTATAAATAATGGTATAAATGTGAGTTGTAAAAAAATGAGAGGGTAAAAAAGGAAATTAAAAGTTTTGACGTGAGCATTTCTCTTTTATAAGTAGCATGTATGTAAATACATGTTATGCTGTTTTCAATCGCCAAAGTATGACCTTTTGCCAGATACGGACAGTTGTCCCCCTTCATGCACTGCTCAATCCAAATTGACGGTCAAAACAACTAAGGATCCTGTGACGCCCATATTTTCACACATATCTGTAGTCCAAGGTGAACCCAAAGATGTCAAACCTACCATGCACCCACACTGTGCAACAACAAGTTTCACCAATCACAGTAATATCCTCTAGTGGAATCAAAGTAAAGTGTATGTACGAAACAGGTAAAAGAAAGGAAATAACTACAACAGACATGATATAGAAAGGAATATCTCATAAATAAATCATGTCTCAGTGAACAATCTGGAATACATCCGACATCCGAAATATATAAATATGTCTCGACATGAAACAGCTAAAAATATAACTAAGGCTCATAGCATTTACAAAATGTGATACAAAACTCTAATGTCCGAATGGAAATAACTCTACTGTGGAGTCTCTACTAGTAACTCGTGTGACGACGACTATGCAAAAACTCTGTCATCCTGCGGCCCTCCAATGCTCTGAGCACCTGAAAGTTAAAATAAAATAAAATAAAAAAGACAACAACAAGAGAGTCAGAGTGCTAGCAAGATTACCTCCATACGCCCCCGGTGAAGGGCTACTAAATGAAGTGTAGGCTCTATCTATTAAGCATAGCCTACCTAAATCATTTTTCCCGTATATAAGAAAAATACTTCTTAATATATACATAAAAGAAATCATCTACTCTGAAATAAATGGATGTTGATATTTAGAAATTCACAACACGAGCATAGGTATGTCGAATATCCCGTTAACTCAAATTGTGAATAACTAAATACCAAATCCAAAAGCTACTACATTGAGCAATAAGAAAAAATAACTCCATCTCAAACCATATCAAAGGTGTCCTGACAGATATCAGATACGTGTCCAACACATAGACTTCACCTGATACATATTAGATAAGACAACTTGAATAAGTGTTCAACACATGGACTATATATGATGAATATCCAACACATGGACTGCAATAGATAAATATCCAACACGAGGACGTCATATAATTAAGGTCCAATACATGGGCCGCAATAGGTAAATGTCCAATACGAGGACTGCATATGATTAAGGTCCAACACATGGGCCGTAATAGATAAATGTCCAACACGAGCACTGCATATGATGAGCGTAATACAAATAAATGATGTAAGTAAGATGCATATATACTATTCACATTCGTGCCTCAGTGAGTGAATCCTAAACTCATTTCCATAATCAACTCATGTGTAGAATACACAATTTACAGTGTATTAAAATACCAGATAACCCAGACAACTTGTTGGTCACACAAACACATGTAAACAACATGCACATGCACATGCACAAACAGGTCCAGCGGTCAACCGCCACGACCATCGCGGTCGACCGTGAAATGAACATAAAGACATTACATAAAATATCGTCCAGCGATCGACCGCCGCATCCATCGCGGTCGACCGCGCAGAAACAGAGAGCTTCCTGCATAAAAACATCGCCCAGCGGTCAACCACCGCGTCCACCGCGGTCGACCGCGTAGAAGCATAATAGGTTTTTAGGCTTTGAACTTGCAGAAATTTTAACTCATCAAAAACATGAATTTTGTTATTTATAAATCATATGACAAGATGAAAACTTTATTTCTACATATCAGAAAAATATCTCATGATTTACTTAAACTTGATTTAACCTAATCAAGTTTAACAACCCAAATAATCAAATTCTTTACAAGAACCCTAGTTATCGACAAAATTAACATAAATATACTTGTATGAAACTTGAAACCGATGTAACAATTATTTTTCCATGTTTTCAAATCTTGTTTTACCCCAAACCTAAGGTTTTAAGCATCTCTAATCAACATAAAATATCATTTAATTGCCAGATTAGGGTTTTAAACATGGTTTAATCATGATTAATAAATTAAAAACAAAATTATGAATAACCCTAATGATCATGATCATATTTCTATCATAAACAGCAAGGAATTATTATAGATCTATCATGGTTTAAAGAATTATCATAAAAAATCTAAACTTTATCATGTCGAGTTAAACTTTACCATGAAAAATATCACTTTAACGATTAAAAGTCTAATCTTTATTAAGGAAAGGATTTGGATGCAGATAATCTTACCTTATCATGTGCACAACCCCCTGAAACAATTAACAAACGATCCATCGATGCCAGACATCCCAAATCTTGCATTCTCCTCGCTTTTCGCCTCATGAAACTCTCTCGAGAACTCAAGTTTAGGGGTAGGGTTTGAGAGAGGGGGAGAGGGGCTGCTAGCGTTTGGAACACAGAATAAAAGAGGTATTTTTCGTGTATAAATATGTATATATATGGCAGCAAACCCGAATAAATATAGCCCAAAACCTGAAACCTGAAACCCGAAACTGGAAACCCGGTCTGACTAGAAACATACTCTTCGGTATTTTGGCTGTAACTTTCGCATCCAACCTCAGAATGAGGTGATTAAAGATTTGTTAGAAAGATGATGAAGAGAAATACAACTTTATTCTTTTAAGTTTTTCTATATTCATACTATATCAGTGTGTAAAATACAAAATCTCTCTACTGGTCATTATTTTTCAGATTTATACATCATGCATGTTTTGTGTATTTGCACTTATATATACATATATACATTGAATTGATCTCAAATCAATTCCTAGCATACTCAAACATCACAATATGTTATTTATCAACGTATAACAAATTTATTATTATTTATCATAAAATATTTAATTTTTCGGGGTTTTACATTCTCCCCCCCTTTTGTGTATTTGCACTTATATATACATATATACATTGAATTGATCTCAAATCAATTCCTAGCATACTCAAACATCACAATATGTTATTTATCAACGTATAACAAATTTATTATTATTTATCATAAAATATTTAATTTTTCGGGGTTTTACATTCTCCCCCCCTTTTTCTCTCCCCCCCCCCCCCCCCCCTAAAAGAATTTTGTCCCCAAAATTCCGCATCTTATCTTAGAGATTAATAATACATTATTATTAACCTCTAGATACGAAACATAGCAATATCTATACTTAACCATCTAGAAT